AATTATATTTTAGATTTTTTATATTTAAAATAAGATGTTTATCCTGTATTTGATTGTGTTTATCTGCAGTTAGTTACACGGATTCAGTTATGGGATGAAATCGGATAGGGATGAACGGGTTTAAGAGTTTTAAGAGTTTAAGAGTTTTAAAAGTTTTAGCCAAATGCATTATAATATAGTATAGATTCGTCCGTCAACCAATTTAGACCACTACAATATTCTATGCGGCGAAAAATTATCATTTACCACGTGGCGGATTGTTATTGGCTGATGGCCACAACTTCTGTCAATCAATCAATTTTTATTGTTAACCCCACCAACATATTATTATATACATAGATTACAATATTATTGGGGAAATTCAGCCAAGCAATCAGATCTTTGTAGCCATCGAAGACTTGAAATACACAAGATTGTATCTAGGGTTTCGTTTATTAGTTGTTGGTGAGTCTATCGATATCAAAATCAAATGGATCCGTTTGGGGATACTAATTGGGATCTAATCGATTACAACAGTCTCATCAACGATGTCGCATCCACCGATCTTTATTGGGGTGACCAGAGGTGACTGATTTTTTTCTTGTTTTTTTGTTTATAGAATTTGATTTTTGATTAATTCGGTGGTAGAAGCTGTATCATTGTGGTGGTTCAGTTATTGTGAAAAACAATTGGGATTTCAGGAAAGTTGACGATTTCTGCTTCTGTATTCAGATTCTAGGGTAGAAATGTTGGCGAGTGTGTAAATTGCTGATTGTATTAGGTTTTAGGAATGTTCTTTTTTTTCATCATATATGATGCAAATGGGAACTTTCGTCTGTGATTCTATGCCATATACTTGAGGAGTTGTTTATTCTTCTCTAGCAATTTGCAAGGAGTAAGATCTTTGTTGTTGCGGGTGACAATTTATGCGTTGTATGTCGAAGTCTTGCTGTTCTTAGCTAGATTTGGTCAATATGTGTGTTTATAGTCGTAAGAGAAGGCTTAAGTTGAGTTGTGTATGTTTTCCATGGAGTTGCTACGACGTTTGATTGATTGAAATTGGTTTGCCTTGCAGTGCTACGGTCTCACTTGATACCTCACTTGCTAGCTTTGCACCACCAGAAAAGGAGTCTGCAGAGAAAGAATGCACAAGGAAGAGGTAATTGCTATTTTTCATATGAACATAGCATGAGTTAGTTTGGTAAAACTCCACCATGGATATAGAAATGACAAAAACCTTGCGGGTTGGCTCAACCGACAAATAAAGGCTAGGTCTAGGGGCTCCTCTGGATAGGTCGTCAGTTCGTGTCTCCTAAGGGCAATTCGGGATTCTTCTGGTTGTTATCTTCAGGTCCCCATGAGATTAGTCGAGATGCACATAAGCTGGCCCGGACACCCACCGTTACCAAAAGATAATGACAAAAGAAAAATCCATTTTTGACAGCATGATACCAAGAAGGATCTTTATCATGCTTCAACCTTTTTTCTCCATAGTTGTTTGTTGTCTTGTCCTTTTCAGGTTGTCCCATATTGTGGGATGACTTTATAGAAAGTCAAACATCACGCTAAGAAGATAGTCATTGTGTATATGGATGTTACGAGTATAAGCCTAACTTAAAATGCATGTCGTTTGGTTGGGTGAGTGGTGACATATGACTTTTATGAGTTTAGGACACAACAATTTTTATGTAAGTGAGCTTGGTGGATTTGGAGAGTGAATCAAGTTGATTTCTTATGTTTGTGCTGAATGATTAAAGATGAATGTGTGTGCCTTCACTGTAAAAAGCATTGCATGGAAAAACGATCATAGTGGTAAGCTTACAAGTTTTGGCGTATACACACATTAGTAAAGTTCTGAAACTAGATAGCAGGCAAAACCTGTGATCCGTTAACAACTAATTTATGCTTGACAGTTAAGCAGTTGATTATCCTGCAACTACACGTTTTGGGGGTTTCTTTGAATCCCGTGTAAAAAGTCAATTTCTTATTTTTCTCTCTTCTTCTTAAATAGAAGATGTTAAATTGCTTTATACTGTTCAATCACATAACAGGGGGCGCAGTATCTCGTGCAACAGGGCAGAGAATAAAGCATGCCGTGAGAGACAAAGGAGGGAAAAATTGAATGACAGGTTGCTGTTTTCTTGATTAAATTTTGTTACAAGCTCTTCCTTTACGACGATATTATTATTCAGTCTAGGCCTTGAGGTGCTTGGAAAATATAGGTGGGCAAAATTGAAACCTACAGTTTTTATCATAAAACAAATTTACATAATGTGATTTTTGTAGAAGAGTTGGACGGTCAATGTGTCATTAACAACCACATGCAAGATATAAACATTTATGGCCTTTTTCATAGCCAGTTATATCCTTTAGCAATAACAAAGGATTCATGTTCATGGTTTATTCACTTTATTGATGAAAGATTGTTAATTATTTTTGCAGGTTCTTAGAACTGAGCTCTACTTTGGAACCTGGGAGGCCTGCTAGCACCGATAAATGGGCTATACTTGGGGATGCTATCCGAGTTCTGAATCAGCTAAAATCTGAATCTCAAGATTGCAAAGAGATGAACGAGAAACTATTGGAAGAGATTAAAACATTGAAGGTTAGTTCTATGAACTCTGTTACAAGGAAGGTCTGGATAGTGCTTTGCATTTTTTAACCCTGGCACATAATTTCACAACTTGGAATCTTAAATGTTCTAGCAAGAACTCTGGATCCATTACTGTATTAAAATACATTAAATGAAATCCATAATTATTAGTTCTTGAATTCTTTGTTCTTGAAATAAGCAGCTGACACACATGCAATGCTAGTATATTTAGCAGTAAAGATCTTTGATACAAATATGCTAATAATTGGTTTGAGCCGTGAGGTCGTGAATGAACTCGCTAAATAACTTTCTTTCTTCAATTTTTTTCCAAGAGATCCTTAAAAATGCTTTATGACTTGCCAAAACTCACAGGCAGAGAAGAATGAACTTCGTGAAGAGAAACTTGTTTTAAAGGCCGAGAAAGCAAAAATGGAGCAGCAGGTCAAAGCCATGACTAATCTTCCGCCTTCTGGATTTATGACACCTCATCCAGCTGCATATCAAGCTGGAGCGAGCAAGATGCCCATTTTTCCAGGCTACAGTTACATTCCAATGTGGCAGTATTTACCACAATCTACGCGTGATACATCTCATGATCATGAGCTGAGGCCACCTGCTGCTTAAATGGTAAAATGACAACCAATGAGAAAATTCTGGCCTCATTGTAGCTTGTAAATAGAATTGCTTAATTACATTTTGCAGTTTCATCTTTCTGCACTTTTGCTATTTTGATTTCTAGAGACATAGAGTTCAACGTAGAAGGAATTTATGTTGGATAGAATTAATACCCTTCATTAATCCTTTTATTCTTGTCCTTAATGAAGTTTGTATCTCTCTCTCTTTGTAATCTCTTGTCTCTGTATGCTTTCGAAGCTACAGATGCAAGAAAGTTTCTCGGATGATCATGAAAAATGTTAGCAGTACCGCAAAATAGTCAAAATTGTTAATTGAATGCACTACTCAAGCTAATGATAAAATCTTTATTCATTTTGATATGTTTTTACACTTGCTTGTCAATTATTCTCGTAAAACCTACATCTTTCTCATCTTCTAATGATATCAGTCTTCTGTTTATTTCAGTATTTCCGTCACTTGTGTACCTATTCTTCTTGTTTAGCTTCGAGTAATTGTTTCTAAATCAGATGAATTCTTTTCAGTTCTGCCAAATGTCTGTGGTTTCGGGTCCTCTTCGTCTACTTCATAGGTCACATAATGGAGTTCAGTTTTCTTCACTCGTGCTTCTTTGTTACCTTCCTTTCCCCATAGTAGCAAGTATAAACCCACAATCACAATCACTCCCCCAAGTACACTGCACAATCCAAGAAACACAGTTTTAAAGATTTTGATGCATGAAAAACACCCTTGTACAGGGGTCTTTTGGTTAAATAACTGTCTAACAGATTTTTTATTTGCTTATTTATAAGTACATGACCTTCTGACAGGTTTGAGAATGCCACCGTTTAACAGAAGAATGATTAGGAACATGTCAATAGGTCATGGATTTAAAAATCACTTGAGAGGAGGTTATTTAGCTAAATAACCCCTTGTTGTACATCCAGTCTGCAATTACTTACCTTCCTGTGTAAAGCTTTTCGTCAAGTACAAAGTATGCCAAAACCGCCACTAATATTGTGGAGAGGGGATTGAACATTGTTACAAAAACTGGCCCTTTTTCTTTGGTGCACCAGAGTTGAATGTATACTATTAAACCAGAGACCACTACTCCCTGCAATATGAACGGTAAATTTGTTTATTAATTTGATAAATTATCTGAAAACAACTGAGAAACTTGATTAGATTTTCTTTAAGTTGGTACTCCATAGATTGTTGACCATAAATCAATGTTGAAGCCAATACTCCAAGCTGCTCTCCTGTGCTCGATAACTGCTGTGAAAACAGCCGATTGTGCTGCTCCAAGGAAGTTCATCCATGTGGTAAGTGAAAGCTGTGCTGGATATCTTTTCAGTGTATATGCCTGCACAATTTACCAGAATTGTGCCATTTGAGGTCATGTCTGCATAAATCTTACCCCCAAATCCACCTCCTTGTGGGGCTATTTAGTTTTTTGATGGATTCTTTAGATGCACGACATTCTGACATTTTACTAACAGAAGAATGCCTCAATATCTGTCAGAAGGTCATGCATTAAAAAGATCTGTCAGAAGGTCATTCTCCTAAATAGCCCCTTCGGAGTTGATATGCTTTTTCACAAGTAAAACGAAAATGAAAGCTAAATAAAGTGGAGCCAAAATAAGATTGATACCTGCATTATGTACCATATAGACCATGTTAGGCAGCTTGAGACCGTAAGAACTGAACCCTTGAACCAATTTTCTTGGATTACCGTGGTCTGTGTAAAATGGATAGCAGCATGCCCTAAACTTGTCATTGCAGGTCCCTTGTACAGAGTCATAATTATTACACCAGCCAATGAAACTAGGGTACCGACTACTTTTGCCAGCCCTCGAGGGTTTCGGAGATCAATGATTTCCAATCTGCATGATCATCTCATCTAGTCATATTACTTGAACATCATGTATGACCATTTTACTTATCTGGATTAACTTGTTCTGTAAGAAACTTTCTATCTTTTTCACACACTCCTCACAAGCCGGGGGTCTTCCGATTTACTTTGAGGGTAGAGGTTAGATCTGCATGCGTCTCAACCCCTGGGGGGTGGACCCCACCTTCAGGTGGGATACAGTGGGCCTGTTGTGCCTCTTTCTTCTTTTTTCTGCTGCTTACTTTTAACTAGTTTTTATTTCCTTTTTGTTCACCCTTTTGCAAAAGCCAGGTGTGTCATGGAAATAACTGCTCTACCCTTTGAGGTAAAAAGCAGGTCTGAGTACATCCTACCGAGTGAGATATACCGAGTCTGTTTAGGTTTTACCTGAGTATAACTGCAATAACAAAAGTGAGGCAAGCAATGGTGTTAATCATTGATGCAATGAAAGTCGGTGAGGTGCATCTCAGACTTGCAAAGTACATATTTAGAGTCAATGCCACCCTGTGATTGTTAGAAGGTATGTAACCAACTTCTTGTAAAAGTAATTGAAGTAGCGGTAATAAGAATAACCGTCATTTGAAACGATCTTACCCTAAAAGAGAGAGAACGGAAATCTCTAGGAATAAAACCACCGTCATTTTTGGCCTCTTACCTCTGCAATAGATAAAGAAATGATCAAAATCTTCGTTTTGCAGGCTCGTATTCTGTAATCAAACGAGACCCGTAAAGTAGAAATGATGCAAACATGTAAAAGTTACCGTTGGTTTTTACCTTTCGAGAAAATAGGCGAAAGGAAGCATGACAAAACCACCAACAACATGCCGATAAGTTACGTAGATATGAGGATTCATCCCATGCTTGAATGAGGCTTCTGTTATGAAGTAGAGAAATGTGAAGCCAACTTGAGTTAGAACCATTAAAAGGTGCGGCTTGAACCGCCAATAACGACTCGCGACTGGCTCCATTGCCACCGTTTGAATCTCTGAAAACGACCTCGGTTCTTTTATAGATTATGTGCAAATAAAGTTGATGATGGGTTCTTATTCTTTAAAGTTAGCATCAAATTCTGTGTGTTGGTTCGTATTCTAAGCTGCAAAAGGTGCCAATATTTGGTTCTTGTTCCGTTACCATTTCCACTAACGAGCGAGCATCTATGAACGTATATTTATTTCTTTCCGCATCGTATAAACGAGAGGCATAAAATGAAAACATAACATGGCGTAAAAAATAGCTAGAAAATGATATTTGTTTGTCCATGTAACTTGGAAACGATAAACATTCGCGTCGTTACATGGATTCTCGGGCACTCTTGTGTTTCGTTAGTATTCGACACACGTCGATCGAACCAAACGATGCATATGCATGAATGGACGCTATTGATTCGATCGGGAGGCAAACGTGAAGAGATTGAGGGGTTGTTCGGTTTGTTTTCTGTTAAGACCTGTATGAATATAGAAGTCAGTATTCGACCGAACAGCCACTAAGTTGCACTCTCGACATTAAACTTACAATATAACGGGTTACAGGAGGCCCATACCCGGGTACTAAAAGCCCAACCGGTTCACCAGATCCGATGCTTTGAGTTTGAAGTTGAAGGTAGACTGGTTATGAATGGTTGGTTACAACTCGTGTTTTAGTGATATACAAATACAATATTTGATTGGAGTGAAGAAAATATTTTATATAAAATATTTGAAAAATATATTTATTTGAAACATAAACTTTAATACACAAATTTTATAAAAACATAAACTTTCGTCTAGCGGTATATAAGTCCTTGGTCTCTTAGGAGGTCAAAGGTTCAAACCTCACAAAGATGTATGAGTTTATTTGTTTTATTTACCGTATATAAATATTATATTCTTAAAAAATATCAAAAAACCAAAAAAGTAAATAAATTAAAATCCGGTTAAAAAGATGCGTCATTAAAGACCGGTTACGATTTATTTAAAAAAATGAATATATCCCGTGATTGATACCTTGATGTTAATTTTAAAAAATATCATTCTTCCGACATATCAATGAATATAGTTTGGTACACTCGTCATATATGTTCAATCAGTACTTCTCTTTTGTAATCGATGATACAAATAAATGGTCAATAAAGATCTTAATCTAAGTTTGGTGACACCCATTTGGGATTTATCTCCATTTTCGGGACGTAGAGATCTCATATATGATAAACGAAGATGGTGAACGTTATCGATAATAATAGTAATGATAGTTTTGGATGAAAAAAAGTCAAAATAGCAGAGTAATGGGACGTTTACTAATAAGTGCATACCAAATAAATTTTCTCATCGGATGAATATGACAAGGGTCAAGAATCTTACCGAGTAAGAGCGATGAGAAGGATGGAGAGTCTTACCCGATAAGTGATGGTGACGACTCTTACCTATGTAAGCGCTTACTCGGTAAATTATTGCATTCGATGCATTTTGATGTACTAAAATTTCACGCTTCAAAATAAATTATAGTGTTGACTCGTATCAGTAAACACTTATCACTTATTGGGTAAGAAAATATCTAAATATATTTTTATTGCTGTTGACTGTTTTTTTCTTCATAATTTAATTAAATATTTGAGCTTAAAATATAGACAATTTTCTTTTAAGGATATAAAATGAAGACTTTGATGAGTAGTAGTAGAGGTAGACTTGAGTTTGGTATAGAAACTAAAAAGTGAAGTTAAAGGATTTGTAGGCGCAGAATAAAATGGTAGAGGACTAAAAATGGTAGTTAGCTTAAACTAGAGGGACTGTTTTTGGAATTTTAGTTAAATTCTATGGGAGCAAGTCAAATTTGAAAGTAAAGGGACTAAAATTGGAGTTAAATAAAAGTAAAGGAGGCATTAATGTACATGTTCAAAACCCCCATCTATCAAATCCCGGTTCTTCCCTATCTTCTTCATTCTTCAACTGCATAAGAACGCCGAGAAATCCATATCTCTACGAGAGCTTTTGCATTCAAGTTAACCTAATCAAGCTAGGGTTTGTGTTCAATTCGATTTCACCATGGCTCGTAATGAAGAGAAAGCTCAGTCCATGCTCAACAGGTTCATCACCATGAAAAACGAAGAGAAGAAGAAACCCAAAGAGCGCCGTCCTTTCTTGGCCTCCGAATGCCGGGACCTGGCCGACGCCGACAAGTGGCGCCAGCAAATCATGCGTGAAATCGGTCGTAAAGTTGCTGAAATCCAAAATGAGGGTTTGGGCGAACACCGTCTCCGTGATCTTAATGACGAGATCAACAAGCTAATCCGAGAAAAGGGGCATTGGGAACGGCGAATTGTGGAGTTAGGTGGGCCTAATTACTCGAAATATTCGGCCAAGATGACTGATTTGGAAGGCAATATAGTTGATGTGCCAAACCCTAGTGGGCGTGGACCGGGGTATAGGTATTTCGGGGCGGCAAAGAAGCTACCTGGTGTGAAGGAGTTGTTTGAGAAGCCTCCAGAACTGAGGAAACGAAGGAGTAGGTATGATATATACAAGAGGATTGATGCAAGTTATTATGGGTATAGAGATGATGAAGATGGAGTTTTGGAGAAAGTGGAGGGACCAGCTGAGAAAAGGATGAGGGCGGAGGCGGTGGCGGAATGGATGAGGATGGAGGAGATTAAGAGGGAGGCGAGGAGGGCGGTGAAGAGTGGGGAGGTGGCGGAAGTGGGTGGGGCTGCGAAGACGATATTGTATGAAGAGGAGGAGGATGTGGTGGAGGAGGAGAGGAGGGAGAGGGAGTTGGAGGAAAAAGAGAAGGAGAAAGAGTTTGTGGTGCATGTACCATTGCCTGATGAGAAGGAGATTGAGAGGATGGTTTTGGAGAAGAAAAAGATGGAGTTGCTCAGTAAGTATGCTAGTGAGGATCTGTTGGAGGAGCAGATTGAAGCTAAGGCAATGCTCAATATTCAGCGGTAGCTTGGTGTGTTTTTTTGTCTCTCAATACTCGATCCTAGTTAAATTTAGGTTCACTTAAGTTGGATGATATTTTTCACATTGATTGGACGATGTCTTTATGTTTTTATGGATGATTATCAAGTCTATTTTTCAGATTTTCACTACTTTTGCTGCCTTTGTCGATCTCTAGATAATCAGTATTATAACCAGCAAATTTGTGAATCTGATGCCTTGAGATGTTCTTTTCACTTGATTCACAAAATATGGTTCCATTAGTGTGGGTCGCATATCAATCACTTAAAGTGACATATGACAGAATGCTGAATGCAGCTTGGTTAATATCTGATAGGAACCAAATTTTGAAGAACAAGAAGATAACATACATTAACAAACCCCCAGGCCCCATCAATTGTTCTTCAAGAAACTTGATTTTGGTGGATGCTACTACATTGGTAAGTAGCAAGATGTTTGGACCATGATCACCATCTCAATGATCATTGCACTGGACCTATCATTTTGAGGCCTAGAGAGGGCCAAAATTATGTTTGAATGCTTAACCACCATTCTATCAGGCAATGAGTCAGTGAAAACATGCAGTGATTTGATGAACTGGGGCACTGGGCGTATGATGAGAATGAGCTTGAGAAGAATTTCGTTGGTCTTAATTTCTGGATCAAATATCAAACTCTCTTCTGACATTTTGCACTAGTTTCCGGCTTACTTGATGCAGTCGCCAGTCACACATTCAGTTTGGCTCTGTTTCCTGTCACAAAGTTTCTGCTCCATTTGTTAGAAACAATAATCATCGTGCTGATATGTACAATATCATCTCATTTCTGAAGACAAAACCCTCCTCATTGCTCATGCAATTTTATAGTAAAAGATAATCGGACTTTCACACTCTTTTTCTGTTGTGTTGATAAATTGACCTTCATAATCTTCATTGAGGTCTTTCTTGTCATAGATCTATGCTTGGGATATATATATGGGTGTCTAACAGCTCTTTCTAGAATTTGAGTAAACTACATCTTGATATGCTTGAGCTCATTCACATTATTGCTACTCCTTTGTGTTCTGTTCCTTTGAGGTTATCTAGTTGTGTTATCATGATTAGAATGTCTGTAGGAGTTATTCCTACCTTCATTGCGCTGCCTTCCAAGAGGATCCAGTATCTTAGTTTTGTACCATTACCATTGGTTCTTCTAGTGAGTCAGAAACTAATTAATCTAATTTACCTTCGATGATGGAAATACAATAACACCTAACTACACATTGGAAATAACAATCTATAACTCATAACAACAACTGATCCCTGCTAATTGTGTCGGCCTATAAAACTATGGTCTGGGCTTGTCCTAAATCCTAATGAATGCCAAGATGATTTCTGAAATGTGAAACCTGTATGGCTAGGTTGGTTAGGATTGATGATCACACACAAAAAAATTGTAGAAAACGAAAAATGGAACAGGGTATTTACGTGGTTCGACAATTTTCCTACATCCACAGGCTTTGTTAGGCTTTTAGTATATTTTGTGAAATCTGTAGCTCGCCCATGGGAGGAAGGCCGTCTTTGTTATACGAAATAAACCTATAGCAAAGGGACTAACGGCATCATTAAAATTGTAAAATAATTTATACCGTGTAGTCCAAAATCAGGCTCCATATCAACAAGGATGCCCTAAGACTGATGCATTGGCGTTACATTCGACAATCCTTGTGGTGGCTATAATGTTTGGACCAACAACGAGAGGGAGCTACAGGCTAGGAAACGTGTTCTTGATGATTTTGATGTCATAAATAGCCTTTAATCTTCCAGGATCTGTGATTTGACTTGTACATTGTCACTTATGGTGGTCTATGCTGTTACAGCAGTCAAAATCTGAAATAACGGTCAAGACTGTATTTGATATAGCGGCGGTCTATACAATTATTAGACATATATTAATATATATGTATGTATGTATGTATAACTTAAGATATTATATGTATTAAATAAATATATAGTTTCAACATCAGAACTTCAACTTAGAACTAGGCTTTGGTTGATAAAAATTGTTTGGGTGGTTTATAAATTAACAATGCAAAGGCTAAACACAAAAACAAACTAAAACAAGATGAAAGAGATGAACCCAGTAACAAACAATATGAAATTCTTAAGTTGAGTCAACAATAGACTGTCCAGAAGCATAGTTGAACTAAAAACCCATAAATTCCTTTAGAAAAGACAATTAAAAGAAATTTGAATAGAACCTATCAATCGATTGATGAATGATGAACCCACTGACAATTATAAGAAAAAAGAAGAACGACTACTCACAACCCTATGAAGAAAAGTGCCAGAAAAATAAAACCAAGAAAATAGTCGAATTCTGGAGCGAGCTAGAGTGCAGAACAAATAGCAGTCAAATAGTGGTCAAATAGCACTGCTTATCGGCATGCTCTTTATTTGATCTCTCTCCTTCTGATAGGATTCCCCAAGGTTCGCAAGGAGTATAGCCAGAGAGGGCAAGGTTATCCTCTGCATCAATTTGAAAATTTAATCCCTGAACCTTTGAGTTGCAGACGAATGGTTTAGCTAATCATAACTCCTCCCTGGATCAACCTTTTCTAATTTTAATGTCAGGATTTGTATGCTTGACTAAGATATCTTGGGAGTCACCTCCAAGATGATTGGGCAATGGGCACGGTCAGAATACAATCATAATATGGTCTCGGGGGAGCAAACACCTATTAAAAGCCTCCAATTTCTTTGGTTGTGTCCTGAAGAAAGTGTACACCTTGTAATTTGGAAGGAATCTAATGAAACATTCTTGAGCAGTTATACCCTTCATCAAAGATACATATCAACAAAATGACTATCTATCTAATCGAGTTTTAGGAACATCAAGTTTGCCATAGTGTTAAATTTTCAAACATAGAACTATTTCTTTTGGCATACAGAAAAACAACAAATAGTGGATTTCTTATTTTTGGCATACAGAAAAACAACAAATATGATCAAGTTAACAGAATTTCTATATCCAACATTGAATAAAGCCTAAATGACATCAACAGTTGTATTTCTTGCCCTAAAATTGCAATCTTCATTTCAGTTTTTGTTGAGCATTATGCTGTGTATGGATCATTTTGGTTCATGCAAGTATGTAACAAGTGTGAGGACTTAGTCAGCTGCCCTGCCAAAGTCTGGTAATTCATATTGACTTCATATAGGTGAGATGCTAATGATTTTGTACAAGACCTGAAATCACTAGATGGATTAAATTTTATAAGAGCTCACCCGTGCTCACCATTTAGCGGGGTGGGATTCATAAAAAGATGAGACTTCCATGAACAATTCAGCTGTGGTAGTGGTTTTCTGAAGCAGGATCTTGTTTATTGTCCTAAAGACCATGGATAGATTAGGTTTGGTTGGGTTGTAACTGTAGGCATAAAGTGGATTGCAATTCATAAATGGGAGTCGAAGAAAAACCTGTGTTCAAAGTTCATTTTCCTGGCCCCTTTTGGATCTTTATTTATGACGACTTGTTCTATCTCATCCAGTACTACCATCCATGTACCACGGAGTGAGTTGAATGAATGTCGCCCTGGGTGGTGTGTGCCTCGGGAGCCAGCCCGAAGCATGTGCAGACAGGCAGGGTTAGTTTCACACATTTCAGTACAGAAAGAGAGGTCAACCAAGACACACTCTCCCTCCTACTACAAGGTTTAAAGAGGCATTACACACTTGTTGAGTACTTTCATTGGAGTTCAGTGTTTCTGCATTTGGAGGTTGCAGCCTTTTGTTACCCCTCGGGTTTTAGTTACTGTTAACGCCAATTGATGGTATCGTTATGTTATACACTCGCGTCAAGCTTGTAATCAGTTAATCTTTTTTAGATTTGTATGTTTAGAGTGATTTTATTGAATTTAGAAGCAGTAATGTTTTGGGCTGCTCGACCCATTACCAAATACCTCTTTACCTTCATCTAAAACCTCAGGGGTATTTTTTGTGTCATTATCTATATAAAACATTTGATAAAAACTTTTAAAAACCATTTTTTATGCATATGATACTGTTTATTGATGCATATTACTTGAAATTCAAGATCATAAGTAAATTGTGCATAAGTACAACTTATTAAAACTTCATTTTTAAATGTGTAACTAATTATAGATAGATATAATCAAATACGAAATAAACATCTTATTTTGAATGTAAAAAATCTAAAAGATAATTAGGATAATAGTTAGTTATAACAAAATACTTGATTATTATCTTTATAAAAAATATACTATTAAACAATAAATAAATTGCTTCGTTATTAAATTTAAATTAAATTATAAATAGAATATTGAATTAAAGAAATTACATAAAAAACGAGAATTTTAAATAGTAAATTTGATACTAATATTGATATATATATAAATTTTTTTTTTCTTCCAATTTTATATTTTAAATTCTTGTAAGTTTTCTTTAGACACCAACTCCTTAATTTGCCTGTAAATTATTGACTCAATCCCTTCATGAAATGTCTGGAAGAAGGATGCTACTGATATCCTCGGCCTTGCCTTCCTTTTTGCGCCAATACTCGATGACGAACAATTTAGAATTTATCGTTCGTTATGAGCTGCGTGTCCAAAATGAAGCAAGTTAGTTTTCCATACTTTAAATAGGTGTACGAAAGACCTTGTAGAAGGTAAGAAGGGAAAATTCATATGTGAATCATTGAAAAATCAATATGAAGATGCATCTGTGAATTGACATTACAGATTATTCATATGGGTTTTCATATGCACTTCAAATGGATTTTTTCAATGATTTCACATATTAACCTTCTCACGATATTTATCCTTCTTATTTGAACCTACTGGAGAAGACTAAACACAAAGGCTTCCACTTAATTTGTTTCGAAAAATAAACAACCAAGTGAAAAAAGAAAAGAACTTCAATACGACAAAAACAACGTTACTCATTGAATTCCATAAAATTACAATAACATTTCTAATTTGAGAGGTCTCATTTCAACGAGAAATTCTTGACCTAAAACAACAATTTCCTTATTTTCATAGCTACAAATTATTGATGTAAAGAGAATGCCTTTTTTGTTTATGAACTTGCCTGTAAAAGATCCTCGATGTTAATGACTAAGGGACTGTTTACCAAACACTTATCGGTAAATGCTAATCTCGTGGTAAGAGTTGTCCTCACTTACCGGGTAAGACTCTCGGTCCTTGCCTCGTTCTTATCAGGTAAGATTCTCGGTCCTTGCCTCGTTCTAATTGAGTAAGAAGCTTGGTCATTGTCATATTCATCCAGTAAGGTAATGTGATTTGATAAACGCTTACCCGAGTAAGCATTTAGTAAAGCGGTGAGACATTAACCCGATAAATCTTGTAGAATTATAGTAAAGAAACCAGAATCAGTGTGGCAATTTGTCCCAAATGTCAATTCTGGTTGAGGACAAGGTGGGTTATAATGACCCTTGGGCACATTCCAAATTTTTGAGGTGATTTGGTTTTAGACCAAGAGCCTCAGATAACAACTCTAGAAGGGTACATGATGTGTTCAGAGTACTCAGTTGTGAATGTCCTTGCATATTAATAGTGTTTTTAAGTAGTTCTTGCTAGATTTTTGATTTGAAATTAACTATCTGCAGATTATGGGTAGTTATTAAAGTGTATTATGATAAAACACTCCATCTATTAACGATGATGTATTGTTAGATGCCGTTCTTCGTTTATAATGATAAACCAGATTTATAATTATTGCCAACGTGATAAAGCCCCAAAGGGTCACATGCATAAAATGTATATTTGAATAAAGAAAATAAATAGTTAAGATGTTGAATTATTGTTATCTTAATAAATCAGATTCTATCCTATTGAATATGATTATAGGTAAGTTGTTTGACAAGTGTAAAATAGAATTGACAAGTATTGACTTGTCAATCCTTTATATTTGTGTAAAGGAAAAAGAAAGATTTGAGATGATATAAGATTTGTATACTGTTGTGAAAAAATGGCTTTTATCAGATGAGAGGCTAAGTAAAAGTTGCAAGAATTGTTCATAGGATTTCTCTCTCTCTCTCTCTCTCTCTATATATATATATATATATATGTGTGTGTGTGTGTGTGTGTGTGTGTATGATCTTTTGTTAACCAATTCATTTGTGTTAACTATACAAACTCTCTAAACCAATAGGAATCAATCTAGTACCATAGTTCATAGATTTCTATGCAATTAATGATTGAAGGTAAAATAATAAGATTATGTTTTGTATTACTTTAATACATTTAAATGAGAGTTACATTACTCCTTGAATGTAGTCATTTTGGAATTATTAATGTGTTGTAAGTTATATTGTTTGTGATTGTTCATAAACGAATGTATTTTGAGAAATAATCAATAACACTTCAACAGTCAACATTCTTAATCGAATGAGTTCGTTGTGTCTAGTGTATTGTATAATATGGATGATCAATATGAACATAATAGCAGTCAATATGAATGAGCGCCCAATATTTAGTAATGAACACTATTCACATTGACAACTTGTTCATTGGTGAACACTGTAGTCACACATACGTACACATTCAAGTATTGAACATTTTCATATATGCTATATTTTCATTGGTAAACAATGTTCATAAGCTACTCATATATAACAATTGTTCATTAATTCACACCATTATAAGTTACACATTACATATTAATAAATGAAGGAATAATTAAAGCTTGATGTCGGTTTCAAACGATGGAGTAATTACAGGAAAATTAGTTAATGCTAAAAGAAATCTCCATACTTTTTTTTTTCTCCAAAATTACCCTTTGTTCATGATTGTTCATCTATGTTTATTAAACATCATTCTTTAATTTGTTATAAAAATGCCATGATGAATTTTATCCATAGATTACAAAGATTAAATGCTAGGATTGGTTCACAAAGTTAACATCATATATCGGGTTAAGAAATGAACTCACCCCTATACATACATACACAAGCTATTCTTCCTTTCCTCCAAGGAGTTGGAGACCGTATCTAGCATCTGGGAAGAAATAGGATATCCTGTCTTGGCATTGGACATTATCTAGATTTAGTGCATTTGCATGGATACCGTGGAAGCAACGAGCTTAGTTCATTGCTCAGATTCATATACGACATCAAATGGTTGTTGTTCATATTTGTAAAAATTTGAAACACCTATCCTACTCTGTTTCGTACGGATTCTTGGAGGAATATTGTTAATTTCTATCGAGCATATGACTCCCATATTTCAACGACTTCAAGCTTCAATTTGACTGGTCATGGGCTTGAAACGGAGTCCCATAGCAAAAGTTATGGCCGTTTAAGTGGGATGCCCCTTTTAGCTCTATCATGGCCCTCCAGGAAACTAAGGCTCTGTCCTCCATGCCAAGGACCACATTATTAATTCAGGCACGAGGTGTAACAAATCGAGTGATGAAATCTTTGTGCAAAATTTGACAACAATCTTGGCAAGTCATAGCCTGTATCCATTTGGATGCATAATCTACAACAACCAATAAGTAGGGAAAATTATTGCAAAGGGAAAAAGGTCAATGAAATCAATACCACAAACATCAAACAATTCTATTTCTAGAATTTCGTTTAAATGCATTTGATTTTGTTGAGAAATATTTCCACTCATTTGAAATTCATTACAACTTCTTACAAAGTCTTGATTGGTCTAAAATATCAAACAACCTTATTTATTTCAAAAAATAAAAAATAAATATTCTTAATTCATTTCTTTTGCAAATCGAGCTGAATATTCACGAATTATTTTCCGTATTACTAGATGTGAGGTCTTGTTTCAATATGTGTATATGAATCCATATTTGTTTATCTACCTTAAACAATAATTTGACATGCATATACATGTGTATAGTTATTATCAAAAATAATGAGTCACTCCTTTATATATTTCAAGACAGATAGTTCAATTGAAAATGCTTATGTGAATCATGTCGTATTTAAATTTCAAACAAGTAATGCTATGCAAATTCTCTCTCTCTCTCTCTCTCTCTCTCTCTCTCTCACACACACACACACATAAACACACACACACACACACATATATATATATATATATATCTTGTTTTTTATATGATGTGAATTTGTGAATCATGTCTTGGTTTTATATATTTCAATCAACTAATGTTATGTAGATTCACACTTGCATACTTGTGAATCTCATTTCTAATTTGTTAAGATATTTTCATATTCAATTATTTACAAATGAATCCTTTACAGATTGTTGCAGTATATGCATAACCTAACACATATTCACCTTAATGAAACATGAATGATGGTCGTGCATCATGTATTATCTATGAATCAAAACTTCAAGTCCACATGTGAATCATTTATCTTTTATGAATTTGTAACCATAAATTCATAAGTGAACCCTAACAAATTCACACGTGAACCCTAACAATCGATTAATTTTACAAATTCACATGTAAACCCTAAATTGGTTAATCTAACGAATTCACAAGGTAGAGCATAGTAAGAAATTCTAAGAATCGATGTATAGAAAACCCTAACAATAAAACAATTTACTCTTTAACTGAAGAATTTGTTGTTTTTGATGATTGTATCCAATGTAAACTATCTTCTCACTTGAACTTGGTTCTCCCCTCACTATCATCAATCATTCTTCAATCTGCACGACTTTAAATTGGTTCCCTTTGGTATTGGATGCACTGTATGGAAGAGATTACACCATTCAGGAAGAGATTACACGTTCCTTGAATAACCTATATTCGGTCGTTACTATAAATGCATCATCTTGAACACATAATTGGTTTAATCAAGAACAACTGAGATAGGTCGGGATATAATAGGTGAAATTGACATTTGTGATGATTGTGCAAACAATGATAAAGCAATTAGCAATTTTGTTCACTTCATATATTTTTTGAATGATTGGTGCACATATTTGATTTCACAATCCCTGACAACTCT